ACCTGCAGTTCGACCAAATTTGCTCCGCCTACGCTCGCTGCGACTATGCCCTCCTGCTGGCCAGCAGTTGGACAGACCGCTGGCATGCTTCGCTCACCAAAGCACATGTCAGCCAGTTGGTGGAGAAACTGCGTCTCCTCGGCTACACCAGCGCCTACATGTCCACCTTCTTCATGGACGCCCTCGCGAGCAGCGTCTTTGCAGACGGAGGTAGGCACTAGACTTTTTCATGCAACTAGTGGTAACAATCTGCCTGTAGCATTAGGCTGGTCTACTCACTCTTGTGCGATACGCGGTCAACAGCCTCTCGACATCAGTGGTCCTGCGACGCATTGGTTATGGTCTGTAGCTTATACACTTCAAACTCTAGCTGAAAAAAACACATGGCTACAATTTAATGAAGCTTTCTAGTTTGACCCGTCGGCAAACAACTTCCGACGGCGGCAAATTTTACAAACCCATATTTTTTTCTAGTTCACAAACGTATAGTAGTGCAGTTCTAACCGCCGATCAGCTACTCACTACGAAAAGGCATACGCGTACTTGAAACAATAAGCGAATTAACCTCTTGATATATGCAAAAGACTGTGTGAAAGGAAAAAAAAGGTGTCGCCACTCTAAAAGTTACACTTAAATTACTACGTGCCGACAACAAACAGCTGCCTTGGCAAACATTAGTACAGCAGTCAACTTCGAACGCCCTATACCTTACAGTGACACCCTAACTTCTGAGGTAGCTGATGTTGACAAGCTGAACAGAATTTACTGTCCGAAAGTTGCCTCTACCCATGGCACGCTCCGAATTCATGCAGTTAGGGCGAAGGCAACGCTAAAGGTATGAGTAGCCGAGGAGTCAGTGTTAAAATCAAATTTCGGCAGGACTGATTATAGAGACCCCAAAAATCCCTTCGACTTATAGTAAAAACAACTTTTACATGTTCAGTAGACCGACTTTGAATTTTTTCGTTAAATTCCACCAATAGGAGGACGAATTTCCATTTTCGTCAAATTCCGCCTACATAAGGCCGAATTTCCCTTAATTTTCATTCGTAACCTGCGCAACAGAAGTTCATATTGCCCGAATTTTATTCTATTTTAACAAATTAAAACAAACATAAACTTATTTAATTTAATGTTTTTTATCACTTCCGCCATACTTACACATTAATTTAAGCTCAACAGCCAAGAATTAAATGTTTGACCACAAAATACGTTACGCAGTTGGGTGGGGGGGCAGATATCTAGAGGGGCCCTACAAATCAGTTTTGCCCAAATTTATATCCAAAATAAACTGTCAAAGTGTTGAATGATGTTTACTTAAAAATCCGAAGTTAATCAAAATTCCTCGCACCTTTCATGTGCTAGTCAGTATAAGGAGTTAGATCGGCTGTTACAGGGCAGGAAAGTGATGTCATGAGTCGTCGTAGAGTCCTTGCTCGGGAGGGGGCTGTGAAATACAATTGTGCCATTCGGGAGGCTGTGTTGCCATCTCTTCGGGCGTCTCTTTTTTTGCGAGGTTGTAGTCGGAAAAACAAGTTTTTTCTAAAACACGCATACTCAAAGAATGCATGAAGTAAATTACTATTTAGCGGCAGTGACCACTTGCAGCTATCTGTACTAAGGGGTCCGAAAACGAAATAGGAACACTATCCACTACTGCGGACGTTAAATTCCAGGAATATTAGGGTTTGTGTTAAGGTTTGACTAAGAACAAATTTTATGCTTAGGTCTGGAACCCGGGAATATGTACTCATCCTCGAGATTAGTCCGTAGCCATCTGCATTGCTGGGGGGGGAGGGGGAGCGTTCATAGTCTTTTGTCTCAACTACTAATGTCTTCCCGAGAGAGCACCTTTGGTGCTTATGTTGTCAGCCTAAGCCCGCAATGACTGTACTATTATCCTCAAAAGGTAAGAGCATGCGAATTAGCCTAATCTTTCAGTCATTGTTTTTTTTTGTCGAAAAGGTCACCTCTGTACGCTGCCATTCCGCAAACGCCTCACCTCTTCAACAATTCATTTTTCCAAATTATTTCTGTGCACTTTTGCACAACAAAAGTGATCTGTAACAATGTTTGCATATTTAACAAAAACTTATGCATTCCTGTACCACTTCAATGGAGTTTTTAAGGGCTTTGGTCATTTACTCCAAATATACTAACTGTTCATGTGTACATAAGTTGTCGCAAAAACTTTTTTTCATTTCTGTGGATTATAGGCGAAGGTCCCCGATACCCTGGCCGCTTTGAGGACGTGCCAAGCAAGGAAGGTTTTCGTGAACGACTACGATTCCTCTGCCATTCGCCAAACTGTGTTTCTACACTCTTCCTCTACTTCAACAACTTTGTCCTGCCCAACGGGGACATGCTGCTGTGGAACGTAAACGAGGCCGGCCTACAACAGGTACCCAACGATAACGATAGGGAAATTGTTTTGTCCGAAGTCTCCTTGCTGGCTGGGGCAGGGCATTTTACTGGAGTTTCACGTGGTCTCTCGCAACGCCGGTTCTGCCGCCAACGTATACAAATACGCATCAGCCACACGTGATCATGGCTAGACATAGAACGACCTAGTTTGCGACCGCTTGGGCCAAACACACGGGCGCACACGTCGGGCTACAATCACATAAACACACCGTCACGCGCACACAAATCCAGCCGGTTGTCAACGCCTTAATTGTCTTTAGAACAGCTTAGTTACTGAATCCTAAAGGCAGATAATGAGGCATCTTTTTTCCCGGGTAGGCCTGCCGGAAAGCCTTCGTGCCTGGACGAAAAAGTATATCATGAATGACGTCAATGAAGATGTTGTTGTTGTTGTTGTAATCGACGAAAGGTAGGTGTCAGCGGCTGTTGTTTTTTGCGTTTTTTTTCCTCTGCCATGCGTTGGTGTTACATGCATATGCGCCTGATTTATTGACGCCGCTTCGGAATAAAATGGCCCTAACCTAGAACAGGGGATGACAGATAACGCGCTCGCGGTAATTCATGAAGCACATCCTCGGATCGCTGGTATATGTGCCTACTTTCGACTTTGAAAACTTTTGCAGAAAGATCACCTCAATAGTGTTGAAACCATTCATGACCATCATAAAGGTTGTCCGAAAAAGTCAATATTTGGAGATTTCTGGTGGGAAAAAGTTCCCACAATTTTGAATTGCAAACTTAACCACTTTTGCTAGTGCCGGTGTTTATATTTGTTGTCAGGCTTGCCTTTGACAAATAATCCTGTTGGCCACCTCTTCGGGTTTCCCACTGTACGCATCCCGAACGGCTTCTATTCTCTCCGATTCATCTGATAGTAATCACTACTCAGGCCTAGGAAGAATTCGATAAATAATGTTATTTTGCCGGACTCCTTTCGGCTCAGCAGAAATTTAAAGAAATTTAACGTCCACGTTGATCTTCTCACGTTCGCCCGTGGTTGTAATGCTAGCAAAACCTTCAGTAAGTTGTATTCTTATTGTTTTACCTTATTTCTTACGGAAGTTGTCGGAATAGTATATGTAGAAAGGGACAATATCGATTATATTTTAGAATTTTGTTGTTATTTCATTTTATCAGATTAGGATTGTCCCGAATCCTTATGTTTTAGATATAACTGGTTCAGTCTATTGGCAATGAAGAACTGCTTTTCTCGTCACGAATCCAGAATGGATAAGAGAGCGAGGCACATATGCTTTATTTTGAAAGTAATATCCAAAATGTTCAGCAAAAATGGCTCCATTTACGGAGAGCGAGGGATAAGGTATGGTAAAAGGTCATAGAATATTCAAAGTTAAAGGTTTACACGACATCCACTTCTGTTGTGGAGACAGGTCTGATTTAAACTTCTGTATTTCCATTTCTTCACACGTGATGTAGCGTGCTAGGAGTGGGAGTATAGAGTGCTGATATGCCGGTGTACGGCAAGACATATGACGGAAGCCTCGGCGCATAATACGGGAGTACTGCGCAACCATCAGTTCAGTGGAGAGGGTGAGCGCCGTCACTAAGGATGCGATCAGCAAATTGCTTGACCGATTTAAAGTGTCGTTGTACTATAATGTCAGCTAAAAAACATAGGAAACACCGGCAGCTGAAGAGAACATTCAGAGGATACGTTTAAGAATGACCAGGTCTTTTTTAAGTAAAGCTGGAAAAATAACTCGAGAGCAGTAAAGAGTGAGGGGGAGAATGCAGGCATCTGCAAACCGTCAAATTAGGGCTTGCGGTATGCGATATGAACGCAGACGGCGGAATTTAAAAGCGAGGCCTTCAATATGAAAAGTAAATGAGAGGTTAGATGCAAGTTGTTTGCAAAAAAATCCCTACATGTGTCCCGGGCGCCCTCACTTCGAAGTCCTTATTTTCCTCCACTTTTATTGTCATGCGCCTGGTAATTTGAGACAGATTTTTAATGACATCCCCTTCGTTTTTATAGTCAGTCGTGCTCGAAAGGTACAGCGTTGCAGAATTTCTCGAGGACATTAGTCTCTGCAAGGCCTCTCTCATCTTCGCCGTATTCGACCAAAATTTTGCCGGCGTTTTGCTGCGTGAACTGGAGGAACGCGCTGGCGAATTCCCCAATCTTGTGGTGCTCAGTGCTACTCGGCAGTCCAACGTGAGCAGCTTTAGCGAGGGCAGTGACAACGGTCGGGCGAAAGCTCCACTTTCTCCGTTTTACGGACCCGACAGCCTCGTCCCCGGACAGTATGACATTTACGGCGTAGATGGTCTCCTCACCAATGCCATCGAATTACTGCCACTTTCAAAATTACCCATCGCGGAGATTGAAGAGGTGCGAAACTGTCCTTCTTTGTCAGCAACGTTTAATTAACCACTCCGAATCTCATACGGGCACTGCCTTCTGTTACGTGTCCGATTAAGTTTATTTGCTAACTGGTGCATTCTTTCGGATCAGATCAGAGAGGTGTCTGCAAATCAATCCGGGCTATTATTTTAAGTGTTTTCTCTAATCTACGTGATTATTGGTTTTACTTAGCTTCTTCATTCCATTTTTATTTGTGTGGGCTTCTATCCCACAAAAATATCCATTGACATAAAGTGAACGCATTCGACCAAATTAATAATGGCAAAACAACCTGACCAGCTGCAACGTTTGAGGATATCGTAGGTAATCAAAGTATTCCTAGCTTCAAATTCATCTTAAAAGAATTTCATCTTTTAAGATGATCCATTTCTAAATTATTTGCTTTCTCGTTTCTACAGCGCATCAAAAGCTACTTCCCCCAGTTAAACCTCGGTACCTTCTACGGAAGCCATGTGCCAATTCACACGGCGACACTCTTCACGAAACCCTCTGCGCAGCCGAATATGCCCTTCCTTCGGGGCAATTTGGACAAGAGACAGAACCAGTACGTTTACAGTCCCGGCAAGAGGACGATAGGTGGGCCACCTGGGCCCTCTGGCTATACGGGAGCCCTGATTGACCAGCAGGTTGCGGGTTGCGTCAGCGTTTCTCCAATTGACTGGCTTCGGAACTACCTAAGGCTGCCCGACGGTAATGGCGAGCCCGCCTCGTGACCGAATAACATGCTTCCAGCACACATCTTTCCCCCGAATTCGCGACTTGCATCATATATTCCTCTATGTACATGGGTCCACCACAGTTGTGCATTTGCCTCGACTAACTATTTTACCAAAATCATCGACCCGCAACCATCTTTTTCTAAATCATTCTCCGTAAAAGTCTGTGTGGCAATTTTACATTCTTTTTTTCCAGCTCAACATGAAACAGAGTATACTTAGATTTCTCTTTTAATTATGGTGTTTTTCACAGTACATTGTATTTTTCTGTTTGTACATACATACTAACCATACTCGAAGTCAGTTGCGTCTTCTGATTGTCACAGTAAAATCATACTGTTTACCCTCGCAATACTAAGACCGGACATTCATTGTGGTTTGTCAAAAAGGATTTGGGATCCCAGATGATACGTTATGAGAACAGGAACCTCCGTAATGCCAAATATTCTGGGATCTTAAGCTTGGGGTTAAGGTAAGAATAAGGGACCTAGCTTAGGTTGGAGTTAATATTAACTTTAGGATTAAGGTAAGGGTAGGTAGTACATTTAGGCTTAGGATTACCTTTTGAATGATGGTCAACTTTAGCGCTACGGTGGGAAGACGTGAATATGTACCCTTCCGGAGCGTTGACGTCAGGCTGCCTGTATTACTGGGCGAGAGACGCTTTTCCTATCTCCGCAACTTATTCCTTGTTTAGTACAAATTAAATTGAAATCTATGGTAAGAAATTCGGAGAAGCGAAACGAAACCAGCGGACTTGCTGCGCCTTTGAATATATATTAAATCGGTGACGACCTGTCAGATAATTTTGTCGGGTTTGACGGGGTATCGTTCGCAAATTAATCACGAGTCAACCGACAAGCTAGGGTGGATCACTGTTGCGTGCGAGTCTGGAGGAAGAACGAGGCTGCGCCTGAAGCATCCTGCTATATGATAAATCGGTAAATTCCTCAGGATAGCAGGACGTGATACCTGGCATCCGTGCCGCTGCTCTTTTCATCTCATTGTGCAAAATCCTGGCTGTAGGCTATGAAATAACACAGAAGCTCAAGCTTTTTAAGGCAAAAGTAGCTTAGGTAGCCCCACTCATTAATGCCTACCTCCCGCATGTTGTCCTACGAAA